CTTGTGTTCACTTTTTGAAAAATTGGTAAAAAAGCAATTCATACGTTTACATATCTCTAAAACAAATTTATTTACATGGTATATAGTTAAATATGTAACAAAAGTATTTTAAAAAAATTCTATATAAAACACAAAACAATTAACGTTGAAGGCACTTTTCAAAATCAGTTATAACAGCTGCCATCTACAGGACTGAGGAGCCAAGCATAACCTATTGTACAGAAAACCATATTAAAATAATCAAAAATATTTATTTCTTATAGGGATGACGATTAAATATATAATATTAAAAAAATTACGTGGTTCCATATTAGTAGGAAGTTATACTAAAGTAAACAATAAAAAAAATAAATAAAATAGAGAACAGATTTTTAAAAATTAAAAACTACTTGATTCTGTGAGCATTTTAGCAAGGGTGTTATATTTTGAAATCAATATCTTTAATGAGAAGCCAACTCGTTTAACTAATCTCATTCAAAAAATAAGTAATGACACTAAAGATAAAAAAAAATGAATATAAGATATAAACAACTGTACTACAGTAATATCAAATGTTATCTTGGCTTTTAGTGAATGATTAAAAGTAGCCAGTGAAACTACCTGTAATCATTTTTAACGATAGACACCAACGGGAAGGTAAGCCAAGCTGTCTATCAACACAAAACATTACAACAATATCACCACAATTACGCAAAAGCAATAGCAAACAGCTTAAGATATTTTCAGGATCACATTACACTAAATAATAACAGACATGTATCTTTTATTTAACTTTAAGATGTATGACTTATTAAGTTAATTAAAAGATATAAATAATTAAGATATACAACTATAAAAGGCCAGACAACAGACAATAAATATATAACAGTAACACCTTTTGGTATGTATATATATATATATATATATATATACATACATATATACATACATATATATATATATATCAACCCTCAAAATTAAGGTCGACATTAGGATTAAGTCGAAAATTAGGATATACACATAAAGAAAAAGAATAGAAAAGGTCAGTGTGGAATAGACTTACAAAGACCCGTGTTTTTACGGGTCCGGTCAGGTGAAACTTTTTTTACACGTTTTAAGCAGGTATTTAGACAGGTATCCAATTAACGAATTACGCAACGTAACGTTACCGTAACATTTAAAGTTAATTAAGGTTAAATATAATATAAATTTTTACTTTTAATTGATTTAAGAAGGAAACAACAATGATAGTTTTCTACATGTATATAGCTTTTTTTCTACAGATCACTACAAAATATTGAAGTAAGAAATATTGAAGTAAGAAATATTGAAGTAAGAAATATTGAAGTAAGAAATATTGAAGTCAGGGTTAGGGTTAGGGTTAGGGTCAGGGTTATATACAGTCAGTGATATACATAAATATTTTAGTATTAATATTAATATTAAGTTTAATACATGTCGATATAACTGTTGGTATTAAGTATGAGGTGTTTTAATTTATTTTTCAAGTTGGCAGCATTATTTAATACTTTAAGTTCTATATTTTTGGATATGTTATATAGGTACGGACCCCGGTAGGAAATAGAAAACCGTGAGAACTTTGTTGTTTTTTCGGGCAGTGTGAAGTTGCCTGTTGCTCTTGTCATATACCTATTCGAGTTTACTTAAAAAAAGTTATCTAAGAAATGCAATGAGACTAGCCCAAGTTTGTATTTAAGCATGAATAGAACATTTTGGTAGATGTTGATTTGGTAAACATTTAGTGCATTCAGTTTTTAGTATGGGTTCAGCATGGGTCAGTTTATCTTTATTATAAACTTATCTTGATGCATGTTTTTGACTTATGTAAATAGTTCTCAGTTTGGATTTGTGTGTACTTGCCCATTTATTATTAGCGTATGTAAGATAACTTTGGATGAAAGAAAATTAAAGCGATTTAAGATTATGTTGGGATAATATTATCCCAACATAATCTTAAATCGCTTTAATTTTGATAACTATAATAATATTGATAACTATAAATAATTTTGATTAACAACTAAATTTCTTGGGATACTAATTGACGAAAATATATCTTGGAGAGCCCATATAAGTTCAATAAACACCAAAATTTCAAAAAATATTGGGATATTCTACAAATATAAACCTATATTAATATAGGTTTAAATTTGTAGAATATCCCAATATATATATGGGCTCTCCAAAATATATTTTCGTCAATTAGTATCCCAAGAAATTTAGTTGTTTCTGTTCTTTCAATATTTACCTTATCTATTTTTAGTGAAGGAAGGGTAGTTGGTATATTATTTTTTGTTTTTTGGAATATATCAATATGTATTTTATTTTTGTGTATTTAGTGATAACTTATTTAATTTCAACCATAAATTTAATCTTTTAAGCTCTTTGTTCATACATTTATAAAGGTCTTTGATTGAGTTCGATGAATAAAATAAGTTTGTGTCATCGGCAAACATAATTACATTAAGTTTTTCTGAGGCATTTGTAAGGTCATTAATATATATTATAAATGTTATATAAATATATATATTAAAAATGTTATATATTTATATATATATATATATATATATATATACATGTATATATATATATATATATATATATATATATATATATATATATATATATATATATATATATATATATATATATATATATATATATATATATATATATATATATATATATATATATATATATATACATATATATACACAAACACACACACACACACACACACACACATATATATATATATATATATATATATATATATATATATATATATATACATATTTATACAAACACACACACGCACATATATATATATATATATATATATATATATATATATATATATATATATATATATATATATATACATATATATATATATATATATATATATATATATATATATATATATATATATATATATATATATATATGTATATGTATAAATTAACCTCATGTTGTGGCGTTAAAAAAAAAAGAAAAAAATTTAAAATTTTTTTAAATTTAAGGTGGTAGACCACTATTTAAAATCAAAAAAATCATTTTTTCAATTATAATTTAAGTAATATAGCTATAGTAAATTACGAATTTCAAGTTAGTTTTATGAAAAAAAATAGCTAACACCATTAAAAACTGTTTTTTAATAAAGCGGTATAAGTAAGTTTTTTTATTTTTCCATAGCAACGCTTTGTTTATTCCGTTGCTATACAACTAAAAAAGAATCACAATTTTAGTATATATTTTTAATATAAAATACCAGATGTGGTGATTGCAACTCTAAAACTACTTTTTGTTTATTGATTAATGCTTTTGGTGCATTAGGCTACATGAGTCTTATTGAAATTTCCAACTATAGGGTAATTCGGGGCAGTACGAGACACTTAAGGTTTAAAAATTATGTAAATAGACCTGGAATTAAGCAAAAAACTAAACAAGTGTACAGTAAATCTTGCTTATGGTAACTCTTTTCAAAACTTATAAGTAAATTTTTAAATTCATTTTTAATTGGATACACAGAGGATTTTATAAATAGCAACAGCGTGTCTCATGTTCCCCACCTTACGGGGCAAAACGAGACAACATATGTTATGCTTCTAAAGAGAAAAAATAAGAGACTTATCCAATTAGTTTTTATCATAAAAGATGTTAAATATAATTCATAAAAAATATAGTAACTTTAGCTTAAAAAATAACCTGCTTGGCTAATCTAACCACAGTTAAATAAGCCTTAAAAAACATAGGTTAAAATTAGAGATTAAATATTAAACATAGATAATATTAAATATTAAACATAGATATTAAACATAGTTCAAACTTAAGCACCACCCGAACAAATTGTTGCACAAGTTATACTCAACTATAAGACATAAATTAATGGATCATAGAATGTTTAAATATAATCGTGGCACACACACAGTTTACACAAAAAATCTGTCCCTAACTTAACAAAATAAACATTTTTTGTTGTATTTAACTTTTTTTTTGTTTTCCAACCCCTCCTGCAAAGTTTTTTTATACAATGTGCTTGTCAAAATTTCTGAATTTTCTCCCTTTCTTTTTGTTGTCTTCACTTCAATAGCTGGAATTGATAATATATCAGTAAAAGAAAGCTGTTAAGAGTTTGAAATTGACAACAAGGCATTTATTTCATTTCATATTTATTTCAACTAGCAATGGATGTTTGAACATACGAATTTTGGTTCGGCTCAATTAAAGAATTAGTTGTAGATGATTGTTCAGGATTTATATCTGGTATTTCATTAAATATTATGTTTGTATTACTATCTTTTAAACATGGATTTTCAAAATAATCTGACTCAGGAAGGATTTCTCGATTAAAAGGACTGATGTATGTTACTCAAAATCCAGCAATAGCATTTTCCACTGTAGCTGCTTTCACATAGATAATATTAAATATTAAACATAGATATTAAACATAGTTCAAACTTAAGCACCACCCGAACAAATTGTTGCACAAGTTATACTCAACTATAAGACATAAATTAATGGATCATAGAATGTTTAAATATAATCGTGGCACACACACAGTTTACACAAAAAATCTGTCCCTAACTTAACAAAATAAACATTTTTTGTTGTATTTAACTTTTTTTTGTTTTCCAACCCCTCCTGCAAAGTTTTTTTATACAATGTGCTTGTCAAAATTTCTGAATTTTCTCCCTTTCTTTTTGTTGTCTTCACTTCAATAGCTGGAATTGATAATATATCAGTAAAAGAAAGCTGTTAAGAGTTTGAAATTGACAACAAGGCATTTATTTCATTTCATATTTATTTCAACTAGCAATGGATGTTTGAACATACGAATTTTGGTTCGGCTCAATTAAAGAATTAGTTGTAGATGATTGTTCTGGATTTATATCTGGTATTTCATTAAATATTATGTTTGTATTACTATCTTTTAAACATGGATTTTCAAAATAATCTGACTCAGGAAGGATTTCTCGATTAAAAGGACTGATGCCTGTTACTCAAAATCCAGCAATAGCATTTTCCACTGTAGCTGCTTTCACATAAGCTTGACAAAATAGTCCTGAAAGTTTATCAACTGTAATTCTTCTTCCTGGGTGCTTTCTCATCCATGTTGTGCATACTAAGTTATAAGCACTTTTCAAAGATTTGAACAAAGTTCGATCAAGTGGTTGAAGCTTATGGGATGTATGTAGTGGTACTGATAAAATATGCAATCCATTTATGCTAGCATAATTGAGAAGATCAAGATTTTTGGTGTGTGATTTGTGACCATCAAGAATTAACAAACACTTATTTGTAGTGCTACAATTTCCATGTATTACAAAGTGTCTTATAAAATCCATAAACAAATTTGTATCTACCCAACCACTTTTAGAACAGCGTCCAACTGTTCCTGGTGGTGCATCATCAATCAATGAATCTAGCATCCGTTTTCTTTTAAAAATAATCATAGGAGGTATGTAGTGTCCCACACAATTAAAAGCTAGTATAAAAGTTGTTGTTTGGTCTCTCTCACCACTAGTTACTGAAGATACAACACGTTGGCCTGTAAAAATACAATTATAAAAATATAGACAACACAAACCAAAAATAAATACAGACTCACAAATAATAATTTGATTTTTCACTAAAGCAAATAAAAAAATTTGCAACTTCTCACTTATTACTTTTATGAGCTATTAGTTTTAAAGGCTTGTGAACACATGTTAATCCAGATTCATCACAGTTGTAGATGCGATTTGCTTCAAATTGGTTTTCATTAATAAGTTTTTCCAGATTGTCAAAATATCTTTGAAACAGCAGCCTTTTTTAAACCAAAAACTCGATTTATGGATACTGCCTCAGGTTTTCGAATAGACAAAAAGGGTTGTCGTTTCAAAAATCCAACTATAAAATCTCGACCTGCAAGTTTCTTTTCAGTATTAAATGGATGGTTTATTTTATTGCGTACAACATAGTCATACACTATCCTTTGAAGTTCATTAATTGATAGACCATAAAAGACTAACTCCATTTTGATTATATACTGTGCCAAATCTTTTTCTTGGGCATCAGATAACACTTTTCTATAAGAACCAAGCAATTTTATGTGTGGTTTATTATCAGGCATTGTTTTTATTGATTTATTAATTCTTCTGTTAAGAGAATCTTTTGGAACCGAATATTCATTAGCAGCTTTACTTAATGTAATTTCTTTATTTTTGACAGCTTGGATAGCTAATTTCATATTGCTTTCATCCCAATTTCCACAATTTCTTTTTCGTTTGTAATTTCTAACCATCATAAAAACCATAAAATGTTAACAAAATTTTTTTTGATTTTTTGGAGTATATATCAGAGTATCTAAAAATTAAAACAACTGAATAATGGACTGTCTCATCTTTCCCACAAAGACCGTATGTTAAAAACATAAAATTCTTACATTACAAATCAAATTAAGTTTTCTTTTGGTTTTGGGGTATGAATAATAAAGAAATCTTTTTTTAAAAAATTAGCAGCACGACACTAGTACATCTAAATATATATCAAGAATATGAATTGCATTGAACATGTCTTCACAAAGGAACGCGTTGAAAAAAATAATGGCTTTACTAAGTTTCAAAAATACCAGTTATTTTGTCATCCAACAAACTAAACATTTCAAAAAACAGGTGTATTAAGCTTAGCAAGTACAATCATAAACTATATGCTTAATATTAATAAAGGACTATGATGATTACTATCTCCAGAAAGGATACAAGAAAGTTGTCTCATCTTTCCCGTTGTCGCATATTGCCCCGAATTACCCTAGTTGCTGTTTTCTGTATCACTCTACATTTATCATATCACTTCGATTAAATAATATTAGTAATGGAAAGTAATAATAATAAAAAAAAAAGAAATAAATCAAGGCATAGTAAAATACTTATTTAAACTTTTTAAAGAAAACCAAAATCAATCAATAAACAATGCAGCTAAAGAAATTGTATCTAGTTTGCATGGACTAAAATTTGAATGTAGTATAGCAAAAAAATGTGTTCATCCAGATCCAGCAGTAAATAATCTGTAAAACTTTTATATAATAGTTTTTTAAATAAAAATAATAGTTTTGCTAATTACGATCAATACAATGTTACAAATGACTGCTACATATTTATGAACACCAACCACTGATCTCAAAATAATAACTGGATAGCGTATTCTATTGTTTTTCGTAAAAAAATTTGAAGCCAATTTTGGCCTACCAAGATGGCGTCGGTTAGAACTGTTAGAGGTTTAAATCGTACAAAAATTCTGACCGAACAAGAAAAGTAAACTATTTTTAAGGAAAATTAGATGGCGAAATAAAGTTATTTGATTCCTAATTATTAAAATATTCAGCTAGTATACACTTTTTAAATGAGGTTTATAATTTATGTACCTTTTAGTTCTTAATTACCCAATACTGTGTGCTACGGTAGAAGGTTAATAACACAACTGTATGGTAAACAGCAATTGCCTACCTACAATCTTTAAAGAATTTTACAATCATGAGTTTTGTAGGTAGAAACATTATTGTACAAATGCTGTATGAACTATTAGCTGAGTACTGTGAGTACACACAACTTTAGGAATATAAAAGTCATTTTATTATTTAATACTTTAACTTTCTGGACTCATTAATTAGAGAAAATTTAAAACAATAACTAAATTCCAAAGTAAACAATAATCTCTCAATGACTTAGATTTAAAGTCATTGTCAAACTCAACTGTGAATAGTTATTCCTCAAGGTTTGAAGGATAATTATTGACAGTTTAACACACACATAGACTATGTATGTGTTAAACTGTCAATAATTATCCTTCAAACTTTGAGGTCAATAACTAATTTAATTAATTTTTGTCAATAATTATCCTTCAAACTATGTTAAAGTAATTTTTTATTGTAATGTTGACTAAATAATCTAATAAAAATACATTATTTAAAAATATACTTTTACATGATATGTATACATGTAACATCATATGTTACATCTTTACATTTGTTATAGTATGTTAAGATGTAACTATTATTTATTCAAGTGTTTATATTATTATTATTATGCAGCATCTTTGGATGGATCACAACTCAAAAGAAAAGTTTTCATTTCACAGGTGGGTGAAACTTATTACATTTTATTAATGATTCGGCTTTAACTGATAAGCATTTATTTTCACTGATTAAAGTTATTTCAAAAAATTACTCAAAAATAAACTTTCATCACCTACGCAAAGAAATAACTAACAAATTGACTGGAAAAAAATTTAACTAAACTTGTCTTATTTAGTAATCAATGAAAACATTTATTTTTATTATACCATATATGGTATATATGGTATAACAAAAATAAATGTTTTAAAAAATATATATATTTTTTCTTTAATATATAATTATTTTGATATTTCGCTGACCTATATATATAGATCAAGATCTTATATAATAGATCAGCGAAATATAGAAATAATTATATATTAAAGAAAAAATATATATATATTTAAAAAAAGTTTATACGCAGCCGTATTTATTGAATTCTAACCATATATATATATATACATATATATATATATATATATATATATATATATATATATATATATATATATATATATATATATATATATATATATATATATATATATATATATAAAGATATATATATATACATATATATATATATATATATATATATATATATATATATATATATATATATATATATATATATATATATATATACATATATATGTATATATATGTATATATATATATATGTATATATATATATCTTTATATATATATCTTTATATATATATATATATATATATATATATATATATATATATATATATATATATATATATATATATATATATATATATATATATATATATATATATATATATATATATATATATATATATATATATATATATATATATATATATATATATATATGACCACAGTTTCTTTAACAATATCATATATTCAAAAATTGTCACTAAAAACCTCATAACTTTTTTTTGAATTGTTCGATTTTAACAATTTTTTCACCGTTGAAATACTGTATTAATACTCTTTTAAACAATATATAACAATATAATATTTTGTAAATTTAAAAATTTCATGTCACATACCTAGTTTTATCATAAGATTAACCTTGTTTATGATTGTTTAGAACCAAGCTATTAAAAGTTATTATTCACTAGTCAATTCTAGGTCGTTTAGGTTGAAAATTTGATTACTTAAAAAATTTTATTTCAAAGTGTTCAGGACTATTATACAGACAATATTATGAAAAGAACAAATTATTTGGTGTACGTCCTGATGAGAAAATCAATTTTTAAAGGGGATCTGGGTAACTTTTTCCCCTCCCCTTGCCCCCTTTTATTTATAAAAAAAAACAATTATTCCATCTTTAGAAATATCAAGCATCAAATACATGTTCAAAAATTCAATAAAAAATATCTTGGCGTTTAAAAGATATAACCATTTAAAGTAAAACTAGTCAAAGTGTTACTAAGTTTATTATGTATCTATGTATATGCTTTAGTAAAAAAATCTAACATATTTATTATTTATTTGCATTAAAACTAGCATAATTAATACAGTTAACATGCCAAACAAATCAAGGAATCATTTCTCTTCAAGAAAACTTATTTTTGTTTGCTGTGGTGATAAGAACTTAAAATGCACTAAACTGGTAACTGGAAATCCTTTACTAATCTCGATTCAAATGTATGCCAACACTAACTATAATCTGATACTTCTTTCCAATCCTATTGGGTTATTTCCACGCTGCAAGATTTATTTGTACTCAGCTAAAATAGGAGAAACTTTATCATTAGTTACTTTAGAGAGGTGGTTGCTCACATCAGAGAGAATAAAGTTACTTCCAAGATTTAAAGGTAATAATTTTATTTACACTTACTTATGCATATAATAAAATCTATAGATAATATGAATAAACATTTGTTTATATATATAAATCAGGCTTATGGAGCCAACTGTTTTTTTGACGGCTCGGCTCCTGCTCCTAAGAAATACCCGGCTCCAGCTCGGCTCCCGGCTCGACTCCGGCTCCTTTACTTTATGAACAAAAATTGCAAGTTTTAAAATATATTTTTTTAATCACATTGGCTAACCCAAAACTGTACCAATTACAGCAATTAATTTTTAACCAACCCTCATGATTACAAGGTTATTGTGTTACTACTATAGGATATAACATTTAAAAAGAAATTTTTTTTGGGTAAATAAACACTTTGTTCTATATATCGTTTACCCAAAACTAAAGTTTTTGTTTCAAATTTTAGTTTTAATTCTATCCAGGGTACACAGTACTTAAAAAAGACGTATTTTGAACGTTCAAAAGTCGTCCGAAACGTTTAAAAGATGTTGAAAACACTCCAAAGACGATTAAAAGACCTC